CCAGGGCCTGCACCCCCTCCGCCTGCTAACTGGTGCGTGAGCTTAGCCAGGGCACTGAGCCCCTTCCCATCTCAGGAGAGGACCGCTGTAGGCTGGGCCCTGAGGCCCATCACCACCTTCCAGCCCACTGGCGCCCCCTGCCAGGCACCCTCCCAACCAGAGGTCTGCGCAGAGCACTCATTCTCAGGACTACAAGTTCCTCTACCTTTAAATGACAATTCCTCCAAAACGTTTCATTTCCGGCCCCAGGTTTTAGTTTTATTTCCATTCTGTTCTCACGGCACACTCCGTGCCCATGCCGGGCATGGCTCATTCCTTGCCCATCCACTTTGAAAACCCTTGCCTGTCCCTTAACCTGGGAAATGCCTCCTCTCCAACCTTCCGTAGCCGGAGGCTCCACAAAACGCCGCAGCAGCTTCCCGAGCGCACAGGGCGGGAGTCCCGTTAGTCCCTCTCCTCTCTGCGCAGGGCTGGGCCTGAGCGCGCTCACTGATGAGATGAAATGTTAGACAGAAACCCAACATTTACAAAGTGCACTTGAAGTAACTTTTAAGTTTAAAATAACGTCCAGAGACACACTGGTATATTAGTTGTAAAAGCTAAAAAAGTTTTTTAAGCACAAACCAGTGCAATGGAACTTTCATTCCCATAAAGCCAGCGGGCCTTCCCGGAACACTGGCTAATGCAGCCCCGGAGCGAGACCGGTTCCTCCTCACTCGGTGCCGCGCCTCCCGAGGCCTGGCAGTGACCGCCGCAGCCGAGCGCTTGGCCATGCCGGACGGCGACCTGGCAGTGACCGCCGCAGCCGAGCGCTCGGCCATGCCGGACGGCAACCTGGCAGTGACCGCCGCAGCCGAGCGCTCGGCCCCTGGACAGTGAGCTCACCGCAGGGTCCCTACTGCCTTTGCTCAGCGCAGAGGTGCGAGTGCAGGGGGCGGGGCAGCGCGGATGCGGGACCATCTGAGCAGGAGTTGAGGGAGATGGAGTGTCAACTCCCAGAGCCTGGGCACAGGCAGCGGTGACAGTGGGAATGGACGGGCCAACCTGAAGCCCGGGTTTGGAAAGAGATGCTTTTTAAGTATTTATTCCCACTAAGTGGTCATGATGGCTGTTCTCTCACATGATTCCCAAGAACTAGGGCAAGGATGGTGAAGCAAAGTCCCTTAAGCAAAGGTTTCCGCAGTGATTTCAAGCACCAGAAAAGCAAGCGCAGATAAACCAGGAAACCGGAAAATGGTTTAGGCTCCTCAGTCTACAAAGAAACGAACCTAGGAAACCTGCCCCGGGGTCACCCTTCCACCCCACCTATAGGGCATCTTAAAATCGCCCGGGAAAACTTTTCAGCAAAAATTCGGATAATTTTCAATGAAAACACTTAATTTCATAGTGTTCATACCACTTTTTCTTTTTTATTTAAAATATTGTAACCAATGAACATACTAGATAACATTGTCTACATCCAGTGGTGCATGTTTCATGACTAGGGCATGAATGATAAAAACCACAATGATCTCAGCATTCCCTACAAAGTGCCCCATTTTGTTTGTCTAGAGGAGGGAATGGAACAGGGGGAGGAACGAGGAGTGGCGTTGTCCAGGGAAAACGCAAATGGCAGTTACCATATTTGGGTTTCAGGCGGTAACGCCTGCTGAACAGGATAAACTGTAATGAGAAAATAGATGTCACAGTTCAGGTAGACAGCTAGTTCAATTTAAATTCATCATTCGGCTAAAAGTTTAAGAGCTTCTCAAAAATATACCAAATATCGGGCCTACAAAAGTAATTTATTTCTTCGTAAAGTTTAGACTTAGTCCTTTTGTAAAATGTAAAGGATGGGCTGATGTCAGGAGCAGGTTTCTACTTGCAAAACAGACAGTAAAACGTCCGACAAGCACACCTAACGATTCCGAAGCTACACAGCAGGAGGTCTGACATGGAGTCTCTCTTACTGATGCCGGTATGTATTTCACATACTTACTGGTATTGTGTCAACACTGACTATCAAGTGTTTCACACACACTTATACTCACACCCAGTAAAGAGCTAACAGCAAGGGCTACGGCTTACTTGGGAAAGCATAGAAAATTAGTGTGAGGTAGTTCAATACAAACCTAATTTGTACGTTATTGTGAGAATAAAACATTGTGCAAAACTAATCCACAGGTAATAGTTCTTAAAATTCAGTAATGAAGAGAATCTAAACCAGAAATGACCAAAAAGTGTTACTCTTACTAGACTCTCCTAAGAGCACTTAACTAAGAGCAGTTAGTTTGAAATTAATTAGGACTTGTTTTCCTTATGAGTTTTCTAATCATACCCCAAACTATACATTTCTGCTTCAATGCCCTTTACCCCTTCATCTTTCTAGCTATTAGGAAAATTAGTTTTCCCTGATTCAGAAAAAAACCTAAGAGAGATGAGTAGAAACACACTCTATAGTAACAAGTAAAGGACAGAGTTGACATTGAAGAGGCTGCTAATGACAAGATGGTGGTTTGTCTTCTGTGAGTTTACTGGGACCTGGGGCTTCATGCGGTCATTCTACAGCTAATGCGACCAATGGACACTCACAAGCTACAACCGTGTTTCTGAGAACAGACTATGCTTTCACCTCAGTATGTGCAGGCTTTGCCTGGGCCACACCGAGTGGCTGGTGTGACCCATGCCGCCTGTGACCCATGCCGCCTGTGACCCGGAGCAACTCCCTGGCCTGCCGCCCACTCACTCTGACACCGTCACCTTCTCGGGCAGCACAGCAGGATGAGCCTGGGGGAAGCTGGCTGCTGTCCACACAACCCGCTCTCTGGGCGGCCAGGGGCTGGGTGGCAGCTGTGTTTCTCTGGGGAAGTCTGGTGTGATGCGTGTGCCTCTACCCCCCTGGGAGAGTGCGTGCCAGGAGCCACAGCCACGGAGGGTGCGTGGCAAAGCGAGAACTGTTCAGCTAACAGTAGGAACGGGCTGAGATGCTCGATGTATGTGTAGTGTAAGTAAGCAATCCCAACAATTATTTTACAAACGATCAGTACACATTAGAGGGTAACAGAATAGTAAGCAGGAAGAAATATGTAGAGAGAATTATAATTAGTGTCTCTTTCCTAACCTATAAAGTTGAGTAATAGATCTTGGTCAAAATAACTCTGACAGTAAGAAGATGGTGCATTAAGTGTATAACATTGAAAAACCAAAGTTTAAGGTAAGGTGGCTTTACATGAAGTACTGCCGGAAAGAAATCTTATTTGTAATTTCTGTTAAACAAACAAACAAACACAAATGTTTAAGATATTTTAAAGGTTCAAAAAGTTTTAAAAATAAAATGAACATGTATATCTTTACCTTAACAAATTTAAGAGGGAACGCTGTATTTAGATACTGCATTTTAAAACCCTAGGCACACAACATTTAACAGACTTTGTTTTCAAGAAAGAATTTAAGCATTTTTGTCTCCACTAACTAATGAGTTCATTTTCTCTGGATCAACTGAAACATGCTGGTTGGCAAGTGGGAGCTGGCATTTACAACAAATGATATAGTAACAACACCTGGTTTTCTTGCTTAACCAACATCTGTATCAACAGAGATGGCTTGTTAGCAATCAAACCTAAACTATGGGGAGCTTCTGAAAGCATGTCAGTTGTTAAAGTGCAATAGTGAAATGGTCTATCCTAGAAAACAGAGCTAGTTAACTGTCAAACTCATATACACAAAGGACACACTCATGCTTAAACGTCTCCACACATCCAATCCTGTTTCTACAAATCAGGGTGTTACAGTCTCAAAACTCTAATTTGCTAAATGAAATTAATGCACCATGTTGTATGAGTATTAAAGGGACTAATACAAAGGTTGACAGCTTCTAAAGAGACTGGAAATCATGACTTTAAACCATCAAAAACAAACTTGCTATTTCAAATTATATAAAAAGGTTAATGTATTTGAGTCCTAAATATTGCACAGTAACAATGATCACTCAAAGGAATTTTGCACTAAATACACAAATCACATGCCAGGCGAACTGGGAGACACTGCTGCGCTGCACCAGTGCCTGCTCCTGTTGCTCACAACTCCAATGAGCTTTCTGCTAGAACCTTGCCACGTACCTAAGTGTGCACTTCCTAGTTCATGACATGAAATCCCTCTTGTTCCAAACATGACAAAAGGTCCTGGGGCATCACAGACAATGCATTCAGAGATGAGACTTCAATGACATTTTACTTAAGAAAAATTCCGTTGTAAAGAAATAATTCTGCAGATATAAAATGTAAACAGTTACATCACTTGTCAGGAGCAGCACCATTCTTACACTACTCAACATCCACATTGCAGTTATACTGAAAATCAGATACAAACAATGACAGTCTCAGACTAAATAATCACCATTTATCCTGCTCTGCTCAGTGTGGAGAAACGGTCCTGGGAAATGACACCGTGCATATGGCTGTGTGCTACTATTTTCAGATGAACGGTATATTGCTCACTGGATACCTCACCTACAGAAACCTAAAGAGGCTGGAACCTCCGACAGCCAGTGGAGACAGATCTGCTACAGGTAGAAGCAAGTGGCCAGAATCACCAGGCTGGTGCTCAGCTGACTGCCACTCCAGCAGGAAACCGAGAGGCCCAAGGCCCCGCTGCGAGAGAGGAAGGGCCAGCTCTAGACCATCCACCACTGGACCTGCAGCCTGAGGAGCTCAGCTCAGTGTGTGCAAGAGCAGGCTCACAGCTACAAGTGAACCATCTGCTTATGTGCACTGAAATGTATTACTCATGAAGTATCCTTTTGGCTTTATGTGACGGTGAGGTTTGAGCATGCCACAGACTTGCAGGAAACACCGTATTCTTTTTACTTTACTTCTGTTGGGTGAGGGGTGGGGGAATAGAAGGGTGGTGGTGGATGCCCAGCATCTTCAAAAACATGCTCAGAGTTCTTCTGCCATTTAGATGATGGGGCTTTTGCCAAAATTCATGTAGGATTACTACCAATAGTTGTAACTAAATTAGGATTGGCAAGTAGCAATATTGGAGGTTTTTTTTTTTTTTTTTTTTTTAACACGTTCATCATTTACAGTAGTTATTCCTGAATATAACTGGCTACAGGTTACTTTCCCTCACTCCTCTGTGGTTATTTCATTGATAAGCACATAACCCTGAAGGATAGCATCATGAACAAAACATTTGAAATAATTTCTAATTAAAAAAAAACTATAAAAATCTTAAATAATTCATGATATAGGCAAGTCACCACATAATAGTTGCTTTGATAAACAAAATCTTACAAATTCAGTAAAAAAATCAGCAGCATAAGATAAAGCAAATATGCAAAAATTTAAACCATGATAAAATAATTAGGTTTACATTATACAGTTAATTACAGCAAAAATACAATACAGTTTTGTTGCTGTTTTAAAACAACTTAAGTTTTAAATTACATCACTTGAAATTAAAAAAAATAAACTACTTTACTACAAAATGAATTCTACATTTTTGAAAAATCACTCAAAATAAGACCACTGACTTAGTTCTCAAAGTAGTTCTATCAATGACTAAGCGAGTCCCCATCCCTCCCCTCCCACCCCCCAGGCCCAAGTAGTCATCTACAGCAGCCCAGAGGTCCAGCTGATGCTTCTAGGCTGCTGTCGGTATCCGAGGCCAAAGTTGGATCTGTTGACATTGAAGATACGTCGTTGACAGACGGCGATGACGATGGATGCTGAGAGCCATTGATCACTGCTGCACCTGTGCTATGAGAAACAAAACAGCAAATCAGTTGCAGACAGAGTTGCAGACCCAGCCACTTGTACTATATTGGCTACCTCCAGTGGTCAATGACTTTTCTCTTGGCTTTAAAAGGCCCACTAAAAATAATCACAAGTGAAATTCGGAACAACACTAATTTATGAACTCTTTTCATTACAACTTATGAGGTGAGAATTTGAACATGTCTTGAAACCCAGTGTCCTGTCCTTTCCACAAATTTGTTTTCAGTTCAAGATAAGAACTGTTGAATTCAAGACACATTTAGAAATGGTCCTATTGCAAGATTCATAAATGGGCTTCAGGCTGTGTGAGAATACTGATGTTGTTATTGTAGACAGTAAGGGAGCACCAGGGAGTCTCCCCGACTGCCCAAAATGGTGCAGGGGGAGATTCTTACACTGAGTACACCGAAAGATAGAAATATGAGTGGAGAAGGCCTGAAGGCGCCAAAAGCTAGAAATAGGAATGGGCAGGGCCCGAGGGCCCACACGCTAGGAATATGAATGGACAGGGCCTGAGCCACCTAAAGCTAGGAAGGTGAATAGACAGGGCCTGAGCCACCAAAAGCTGGAAATACGAATAGACAGGAACCAAGCAGCCAAAAGGTTGGGAAGATAAATGGATATGGCACCAAAAGATAGCAAGACAATTGAATAGAAAAATAATAATAATCCCTTCCCTTCCTTTCCTATCCCTAGAAGAACCACAGGCTTGAGCAGGAAGAGAGATGGTCTCTGAGATGGGAGTTGGCTGTTCTCTAAGGCAGTGTGGCTTCTGAATAAAACATCTTTTCTTTTGCACAAGCACCTGTCTCCTGAGTTTGGCTTTCATTGCAGTAGGCAGCAGAATCTCTGCTTTGTTATTGGGTTATTTTTTTTTTTTGGCAACTCTGGTGGGACCCCATGGACCACACAAGTCCTGGAGGCCCTAGCTGCCTGTGGCACAGGAGGCTGACCCTAACTCAGGAGCAGGTCTGTGGGGATTTTCCAGCAGCTACCTACCAAGAGGTTTTCTTGGAGAATTTCTTTGCACTTCCTCTCAATGCATGTTACCTAAAATGCAGGCTGGCGAAAGGAAACTGGTTTTGGGGAGCAGATGAATTACTACAAGACTGGGTAAGTCAAACTGCATGCACACTGGGGTCCTTTTCTTCCTGCCACTTGGGCTTTATGCTATCTGGGTCCCGTTAGGGCTGCTTGTGCTATCAGCTGGCAGAGTATAAGACCTTAGGACTTGTTTGTATTTGTTTGTATTAATGGAATTATGGGCCCAAGCTTTGTTTATATGTTCCCATTTCCTCTGGGGTCTTGCTATAGTTACAGTTTTGGCTTTGTACTTTTGTGCCATCAGGGGTTGTTCTGCTTCAACTCCTGAATGAAGGCCACTGGGTCCAATTTTAAAGATTAATCCATGTACAGCTATGATCCAATGACTAAGGAGGAGTTGGTTTTCTATTGTAATAGAAATACTTTCTATTTCTATTGTAATTCCTATATATACTTTAAACCAGGGGTCCTCAAACTACGGCCCGTGGGCCACATGCAAATACAAATATTGTATTTGTTCCTGTTTTGTTTTTTTACTTCAAAATAAGATATGTGCAGTGTGCATAGAAATTTGTTCATAGTTTTTTTTTAAACTATAGTCCGGCCCTCCAACGGTCTGAGGGACAGTGAACTGGCCCCCTGTTTAAAAAGTTTGAGGACCCCCGATTTATTTACCCTGTATGATTACAAGGCTCCAGTGTTTTGAAGCGGGGACTTGTTACTGTAGACAGGGAGCGCTGGAGCAAGAGTCTCCACCATTGGCCAAATGGCTCAGGGGGAGAGTCTTACACTGAGAGCACCAAAAGCTAGTGATATGAGTGGACAGGGCCTGAGCCGTCAAAAGCTAGTGATATGAGTGGACAGAGCCCTCGAACACACAAAAGCCAGGAAGATGAATAGATAGAAAAATGCCTTCCCCTTCCTACTCCTATTAAGAACAGTGGGCTTGAGCAGGAAGAGAGATTGTCCCTGAGACGAAGGGGGGATGGTCTTTGAGACATGAGTGCACCATTTTCCCAGGTCTTGTGGGTCCTAAATAAAACCTCTTTCCTTTTGCACCACCACCTATAATGAAAGTTTAGCTTTCATTATAGGCAGCTGAACCTCTGTTTCTTTGTTCAGTTACAATAATACATGCCAAACTGTCTGTCTTTCATTTTGTTGGAAAGAGGATTTCAAAGCGAAGTATGACTCAAAAGTAAAAACTACTGCCCTAAAAATAGTGCTTTATGATTATCTTCTCACTGTAAAGTCCAGACAATACTTCTGGTACATCTTGTTTTAAGCAAAAGCCAAGACAAAGACTGAAATCATTTCACTTGAAAGGGTCTTTAGTTTGCTCCAATTTACTTGAGGTTATATGACTTGTAAACTAAGGTCTTATAATTTCTATTCTAATAAATACTTGATAAATGCAAATATGGATTTATTAAACAGATAAAGTTGGGGAAGACTGTTTCCTTTACCGAAAGTATAGCCTATCAAGCATTTCCTGAATTTTAAAAAACAATAGGAATACAGGCATGTCTTGTGTTACTGCACACTACTTTATTGCACTCCATGGACATTACATTTTTCTTTTAACAAAGTGAAGGCAGGACCCTCGATTGGCAAAAAGATTACAACTTGTTTTATTGCAATACTTCTTTTGTTACAGTGGTCTGGAACCAAACCGCAATATCTCTGAGGGCTGTCTGTACTTAACCTACAGAAAAATCCTCTCAAGGCCAGGGGTGGAGAGAATGACACTGGGGGTAGGGAATGTGTTTCAGGTGATTCATACACTTGGTAAGTACTTAATGCCCTTCACGATCACTAAATAAGGGTCATTCCAAATTTAAGTATACCAAACCATGCAAGTTGTACAAAAATTCTTAAGAATACATTTATAGATCAAAGCAATGGTTTCCAAAATTTCTAGGAGTCAGTTTCAGGCACCCAATGATGCTAAAAACTAAGTAGGTTTAAAACTGCTGCTCCAGAACACAGAATCTCTGTCTGAAATTAGCCTTCCATTCTGTCTAATGATGAACAATAAAAACTTAAACATAAAAGGTTCTCTGAGAGCTTATCTTCAAATGCAACAAGGCAGTAGCCAGGAGGGTCAGGTGCTGGGGCAGGGGCTGGGAGACAGGAAGGAATGGAACCACAGAGACAGAGCAGGTGACTAGAGGTGTAACAGGAAAAAGGAAAGCAGACTGAGTACTTCAGGCCTTGACAGGAGAGAATAAAAGGAGAACTGCGATAACCTTTTAGACCCAAGAAAGGTCCATTAGATTCCCAGCCAGAGTGAAATGAAGATACTATTCTTTTAAAAAAGTTCAATCCATACGACACTATTGGATTTGCTGGTTGCGAAGGAAAAGAATACAAATACAATGGCTAGCTTTGAAGATTTGTACTGAAACATTCAATTCATAAAAGGGTTCCACTATATATATTTTTTCTTGCCTCTATTTTTTGATTGAAATTTCCTTTTGTCCAAATTTCTTAATGATTCATTTTTTTTTAAATCAAGTAGAAATGATATTGTGGTTATCTGATATTTTTACGTCAAAGACTGTTCCTTCTTTCTCTGTATATAACTGAGAATAGAGTATCTTATAAGTACCGCGCGCTAACCGATTGCGCCACTGGAGCTCCGAGAATAGAGTATCTTAATAACAGCTTCACTAAGGCTCTTCTACCCAAGCAAAGAGAACCCAGAACACGTCCAGAAACCTGACATCCTGTCCTTTCCACTGACTTCTCTTGTAACCACAGTTAAGTCGTCTAGGATCCAAATTTTTCACTTAACAATTAAGAACAAATACAACTGCTCTAATGAGCGTACTAAACTTACTCAAACATCCAACACACTGAGCATGGGTCACTCCCTAGGACAGTGTGCTGCAAATTGTGGACTTTCCAATCCCACCTGAGCACTAAGTTATACCACTACTGTTTATCAATACAAGCCAATTAGCTGTGTTATTAAAGCATTTACAACATAGTTTTGCTACAAGTAAATTCTAAATAAAAGTCGTTGAAACCAATTTATATTTTCAACAGGATCTATATTATAATTTTGAAAATTGCATTTCTAATCAAGGATTTAACAAAACATTTAAAAACTTTAAAATATAACCAAAATGTCATAGGAAGCTACAAAAATGATTTAAACAAATATGTTTACAGTAAAACAAAATGGGCATCTGAAGCTATAGTTAAAATTTTTCCCCATAAACAGATATAATATACAATTTTTTCTTAGAATGTGAGAGAGTTTTCCAGGGATAACTAAAATGGCATAGTTTTAGTCAACTTTAAGACCCATCTATTAAAACACTACTCAGTCTTCAAGGCTCAGCTCAAATGTCACCTCTTCTATAAAACTGCCCTGCTCTCTAGTCAGAAAAGTCTCTGTTCCTGGCCAGAGGGCATATGGAATGCTGGGGAAACCACTTCCTCCAAAGTTATTGATAAATGTGGCTTCAAGTATTACCTTTTCTATACAATAGATTTGCAACCTTATGTGATTTAATTTTTCTGAATTTTAGTTCCCTCATTTGTAAAGTGTACATAAAATCCCTCTTTGGGGTTTTGAGGGCTGAATGAAATACTAGTAAAGTACATAAACAACAGTATTTGTCATGTGGATATATACTTAGTATGCATATGCTGCCTGTCATTAACTGTTCCCTCATTTCTTTAGGCTTTTACAAGTACTAAAATGAAATGAGCTTATCCTATATAATAAAAGCCTAATATGCTAAGTGTCCGACGCTTCGACCAGTCACTCTGATGCACACTGACCACCGGGGGCAGATGCTCTGACTGGTAGGTTAGATGGCTGCTGGGGTCTGGCTGATCGGGACTGAGTAAGATGTCCTAGAGCCCTCCCGAGATCCCTTCCTGGCCCCGATTGTGCACCGGTGGGGTCCCTTGGCCTGGCTTGCGGGGATCGGGTCAAAACCAGCTCTCCAACATCCCCCGAGGGGGCCCGGATTATGAGAGGGCACAGGCCAGACTGAGGGACCCCACCGGTGCACGGATCTGTGCACTGGGCCTCTAGTGATAAAATGCTTAAGTCCTACAGATCAGGTTCCTTCTTAGAAATAGAAGACTTACATTTGGTTCCACTGATTTTTTTTTTTTTTTTTTTTTTTTTTTCAGAGAAAGTGGAAGGGAGGGTGAGAGACAGAGGGCCAGGGATTGAACCTGCAACTGAGATATTTCTCATTGAGCAGGAATCAAACCTGGGAACTTTCAGTCTTTGGGTCGATGCTCTAATCCCTGAGCAAAACTGGCCAGGGCGAAACACAACACTTTCTAACGGTAGTTTTAATGTTACTGCCTTTGATCAACAAATCAAAAATACCAAAGGGACAAAGAAAAACAATAACTTGGTATCACACATGTACCAAATTTTGCAATGACGCTTTAGCTTACTTATACAAAGTAAAAGACTGTTAAAATCATAGAAAAGTAAGTATACTGCATTGTGAGAAATTTCTTCTTTGAAGACAATAATGCCAACAAAAAACTTTCTGTTCTTCAGTGGAATGTCAGTACCATAGAAATCGATTAAGTCGTTTGACTAAGTCATTCACTCATATCTTAGTATAGTATAGTGTTATTATAGTATAGAATCATGCAGTATAGTACTAGTATAGTGCATTATAACATAGTATAGTGCATTATAGTATAGTATAGTGCATTGTAGTAAGGTGCATTGCAGTATAGTATAGTGTATTATAATATAGTATAGTGCAGTATAATATACTATAGTGCATTGCAGTATAGTATAGTGAAGTATAGTATAGTGTATTATAATATAGTACTAGAGGCCCAGTGCACAAAAATTTGTGCACTGGAGGGGGGGTCACTCAGCCCAGCTTGCCCCCTATCACATACTGGGAGCCATCAGGGGATGTCCTACTCCCTGCTCCCTGCTCCCCTTGGGGAGCGGGCCTAAGCCATAGTCTGGCCTCCCTTTTTGGGAGGCGACTGGGCTGGTCAGGGGAAGGCACCAGCGCCATCACCCCGCTGCTGCAGCCACTGCTAGTCACCGCAACCACCAAGGTGTTTTCATCAACACGGACTCCAGTCCCTTTACCGTGAAAAAATGACAACTTTTTTAGGCATTTTCAAGATGTGTCTTTCACAGGATATGACATTTCTTTATTATATTTTTTATCCTCACCTAAAGATATGTTTCCATTGATTATTTTAGAGAATGTGGAAGAGAAAAGTGAAAGACAGAGAGTAACATCAAAGTGAGAGGAACACTTTGATTGGTTGCCTCCTGCATGAGCCCTGACCTGGGCCCGGGCCAGGGAGGAGCCTGCAACCTAGGTACATGCCCTTAGTCAGAACTGAACCCAGACCCAGCAGTGGGCAGGCCGAGGCATTATCCACTGAGCAAAACCAGCTAGGACAGGATATGACATTTCTTAACCCTCCAGAAGCGGACCTTCCTTTTTTTCTCCAGGAGTGTGGTAAAAAACCCTAGATCACCTATTTGGATTCTTATTACCCAAGTTACTAAGAATATTACCAGTGGCATACAGGGAGCTAAGCCAATGAGTGGTCAGAAAAGGCGTTTCCTCTGTAGTTCACACCAATTGCCGGCTTGGCCCCTGCCCAGGCCTAACGCCTCTGACCGAGTCATTAGACCTGGGCAGGGGACCTCCAGCTCCCTCAATCCTTGGCTCAGCCCCTGCTCCTCATGATCACTGGCTCTGCCCCTCTCCCCGCCATCGCCAGCTCCCTCCCTGCTCCCCGCAATCGCTGGCTCCACCCCTGCACAGGCGTAATGCCTCTGGCCAAGGCCTTAGGCCTGGGCAGGGGACCCCCAACTCCCACCATCACTGGCTCCGCCCCTGCTACCCCCAATTGCTGGAACCGCCTCTGCCCAGACCTAACACCTCTGGCCGGGGCATTAGGCCTGGGCAGGGGAACCCCAGCTCCCACCTTGGCCGGCTCCCCCCCTGCTACTCATGATCGCTGGCACCACCCCTGCCCAGACCTAACACCTCTGGCCAAGGAGTTAGGCCTGGGCAGGGGACCCCCAGCTCCCTATGATCGCCGCTCCGCCCCTGTTCATGATCGCTGGCTCTGCCCCTGCCCCGGCCTAATGCCTCTGGCCAAGGCATTAGGCCTGGGCAAGGGACCCCCAGCCCCCCGCGATCTCCCGCTCTGGCCCTGCCTAGGCCTAATGCCTCTGACTGAGGCGTTAGGCCTGGGCAGGGGACCCCCAGCTCCCACCATCGCCGGCTCCGCCCCTACCCAGACCTAATACCTCTGGCCAAGGTGTTAGGCCTGGGCAGGGGACCCCCAGCTCCCCACAATTGCCGGCTCCGCCCATGCCCAGGCCTAATGCCTCTGACCAAGGCATTAGGCCTGGGCAGGGAACCCCCAGCTGCCCACGATTGCTGACTCCGCCCCTGCTCCCCGAGATGGCTGGTTCCACCCCTGCCCAGGCCTAATGCCTCTGACCGAGGTGTTAGGCCTGGGGAGAGGACCCCCAGCTCCCACCATCGCCTCCGCCCCTACCCAGACCTAATACCTCTGGCCAAGGTGTTAGGCCTGGGCAGTGGACCCCCCAGCCCCCCGCGATCTCCTGCTCGGCCCCCAGCTGCCCACGATTGCTGACTCCGCCCCTGCTCCCCGAGATGGCTGGTTCCACCCCTGCCCAGGCCTAATGCCTCTGACTGAGGCATTAGGCCTGGGCAGGGGACCCCCAGCTCCCATTGCCAGTTCTGCCCCTGCTTTCCCGCGATCACTGGCCGGGGGTGGGCAAAGGCACCCGGTTCTCCGATCTCGGGGCAGGGCAAAGGCGGCCCCCGGGGCCGCCTTTGCCCTGCCCCCTGGCTCTTGGCTGCCTCCTCGGTTTCCGATCACCGGCAGCAGCAGGCAGCTTCTTCCATCCTTCCCCTTTCGCCTCCCAGCATTGCGCCTATGTATGCAAATTAACCGCCATCTTAGTTGGCAGTTAATTTGCATATCGCCCTGATTAGCCAATGGGAAGGGTAGCGAAGTTACGGTTAATTACCATGTTTGTTTATTATTAGATAGGACTAGAGGTCTGGTGCACAAAAAATTGTGCACTGGGAGGTGGGGGGGGGGGGGTCCCTCAGCCCAGCCTGTGCCCTCTCGCAGTCTGGGACCCCTTGGGGGATGTCCACCTGCTGGCTTAGCCCCGCTCCCCGGGGGATCGGGCCTAAGCTGGCAGTCAGACATCCCTCTGGCAGCCCGGGAGCCCTCGGGGGATTTCCACTTGTCAGCGGGGAGCAGGCCTAAGCTGCAGTTGGACATCCTTAGCACTGCTAAGGAGGTGGGAGAGGCTCCCACCACCACCGCTGTACTGGCAGCCGTCAGCCTGGCTTGTGGCTGAGTAGAGCTCCCCCTGTGGGTGCGCACTGACCACCAGGGGGAAGCTCCTGCATTGAGCATCTGCCCCTTGGTGGTCAGTGTGTGTCACAGTGACCAGTCATTCCCAGTGGTTCTGCTGTTTGGGTTAATTTGCATATTACCGTTTATTATATAGGGTAGAGGCCTGGTGCATGGGTGGGGGCCGGCTGGTTTTCCCTGAAGGGTGTCCTGGATCAGGGTGGGGGTCCGGTTGGGGTACCTGGACAGCCTGGGTGAGCGGCTGAGGGCCGTTTTCAGGCTGGCCACACCCCCTTCAGGGTGGGGGGGTCCTGCTGGGGTGCCTGACCAGTCTGGGTGAGGGGCTGATGGCTGTTTGTAGGCTGGCCAAGCCCCCCAGCGGGGATCCTCACCCCATGGGGCTGTGGCTAGCCTGGGTGAGGGGCTGATGGCCATTTTCAGGGTGGCCACAGCCCCTTCAGAGTGGGGGGCCCCACTGAGGTGCCTGGCCAGCCTGGGTGAGGGGCTGATGGCCGTTTTCAGGCTGGCCACGGCTGCGGGCTGGAAGCAGGTATCTGGGATTTATTTATCTTCTATAATTGAAACTTTGTAGCCTTGAGTGGAGCTATGGGCTGGCAGGGCAGGCGGGAAGCTTGGCTTCCTCCATTGCTGGGGGCAACTGAAGCCTCCTGCTCGCTCCAGCTCCGTGGCCGCCACCATCTTAGTTGGGTTAACTTGCATATTCGCTTCTGATTGGCTTGTGGGCGTGGCTTGTGGGTGTAGAGGAGGTATGGTCAATTTGCATGTTTCTCTTTTATTAGATAGTGCAGTATAGTATAGTATAGAGCAGTGTAATATACTATAGTGCATTGCAGTATAGTATAGTGTAGTATAGTATAATATAGTGCAGTATAATATAGTGCAGTGCACTGTAGTATATAGTACAGTGCACAGTATAGTGCACTGGTACAACATACCAATGCTTCCAATTTAACCACCCCAACTGTACTTTTTTTTTTTTTTTTTTTTTAAATATATTTTATTGATTTTTTACAGAGAGGAAGGGAGAGGGATAGAGAGTTAGAGAGAAACATTGATCAGCTGCCTCTTGCATACCCCCTACTGGGAATGTGCCCGCAGCCAAGGTACATGCCCTTGACCGGAATCGAACCTGGGACCCTTCAGTCCGCAGGCCAACGCTCTATCCACTGAGCCAAACCGGTGAGGGCCCAACTATACTTCTTATACTTATTAAACTTTGAATAGTAATGGTAGTAAAAAACTGGTAGAAAGAACTGCAGGTTTCAGGCCACTGAAGATTACAACACAAGAAGTAAACTGTAATTTTAACCAAGCTTATATTGTAACCAACCTAAAGGAGAGGGCTGCCCCCGTATAACTCCATTCTTGGTTCTCTCTTCCAAGTCCATAACTTCCTTGTATATCAATTCTGAAAAAGATGTGAACAAAAACAAACTTTTTAAAGTCTGAAAGCCAACCTCACAAAACATCTGTTTTAAATAAATATTTTTACACAGATTAAGTACTTCAAATAGTATCCTCCAAAGGTAGAGGGTCCGTGTGTGTCAGCCTAAGATTCAAAGATGTAAAAAACAATTCTTTGATCCTCTGCCAAGAATTACGTTGTAAGAAACAAAATCTCTGCCTTAACTGGTGTTCCTAGAGGTGGATTAAAGATAGAACTGTGGTTAGAAACCTTGTCTTTCCCACTCCACCAGCACTCTGTACTACGCCATGTCAGACCACATTTCACCCTGTACTGCATACACTTGTTTAATGCTGTCTCAGAGAGGGCTAGAGTCATCTGTCTTATTAGCGTCTATTTCCTGATAGGACCTGGAACTTGTAGGTGCTAACCCAGATACCTGTTAAAGGATTTAAATGAAAGAGTGTGTGGAAGAATGGTATAAAAATACATTTTTATTAAAAAAAAAAAAAAAAAAAAAGAGGCATATGGCCACACCTGAAAACCTTAAAAACTGCAGCCTGACATGCTATCACTGTCACAATTTCTCCATGGGACCCTGCCCTTTGCCTGCTGTGGGCAGAGGGCTGCAAGGACGTCCACCCAAGCAGTTGCACCAGATGCTGCCCTGCATTCTCCTCAGTGGCCTGACATTGTGTGATGAGCCCTGTGACTGAACATCTACTAAAGAAGAACCTTCTGGTAGAAGCTACAGAGCCATTGTTCCTTATCATTTTGGGGTCCTGGAATAATTTAAGAACTGCATAAAAGCAATGTACCCTCTTCTGAGAAAATGTGCAAGCAAAAATGTAACACAGGATTTTAAGGAGTCTTTAATTCTTTAAACTTCTGATAGAGAATCTGTGATTATAGGGTATGACAATGTTTCTGTTGGTAATAAGGTAAACAAGTGGATGTGTTGAAATGAACAAGCGCTAGAAACACCTAAATTTGCTTGCTATGGTGACCTTCTTGGACTTGGAAGGAGAAAAATAGGAAGTCTTGATAGAGGAAAGAATGGGAAAAGCTTTACTTCAAAGAAACAAAGGAATGATAAGCATTCCAGGTAGGAGGATTTTTTTTAAAATGAGAAAACAGCACCCCTTTATGAAAAGGGATTAGGTAGACAAGCAAGAGCTAATCAGCAGTACTAACTGGGCAAAGTGATCTACAGTTAATGGCTTTGGCAATGGATTTCTTTGCATTATGATGCTAAAACTTGTCAGCAGATCTTGAAAGAGGCAGTGAGCAGATAATCATGGAAAAGCACGTGGGGCTAAGAGGAAACGATGCAACATAAAGGCGAACCTGTCTAGAGTTCTCAAAAATCCCAGGTATGTCCTTATGCAAACAAAAACACCATGCGCCACTGATTTTAAGATGCACTTTTTCTTAGAGTTTAATGTCTCTGAAATTGGGTTGTATAACCAGTGGCACATTATGGTGTGTGTTTTACAATTGGTGGCCTACTAAGATTTCATCAGATATAAGAATATCAGTTTAGATATTTCCATACTACACACTCTAGCCCACAGTTATATCCTTGCATATTACCTATTACATGTAAAAATGTACTTGGTTCTACCCAATTATATCTTTCTGGTAGATTCTACAGAATTTAACTACATGTCTCCCAGATTCAACTCAGAGAAAACTAATCTCTGGTTACACTCCTAAAAAGAAAGAATCAAATTCATTCCTCCCAAATACATTTATAGCTGGATTACCTGTCTGCTTATACCTCTGCAGTCCCTTTTGCTTTCCCAATATGTAGGCACATAGTTCTTAATAGCAAGTCTTCTGTGCCCAGATATTTAAGTTCAGATAAAAAAAGGGATCAAGTGACTTGCCCAAAGTCATGTAGCTACAAAAGTGGTCCAAACACCACATAACAACAACACAAATGAGGTAAACAGGGTCTAAAAATTACCTGGCCTAACTATCCCAGGGAAGCTTTTTTTTTAAATTTGTTAATCCTCATCCGAGGATATTTTTTTCTGTTGATTTTGAGAGAGCGAGAAACATCGATGTGAGAAAGACACATCAATTGGTTGCCTCCTGAATGTACTCCGACCAGGGTTGGGTACTGAACCTGCAACAACTCAGGTGCATGCCCTTGACCTGGAATCCAACCCGAGACTTTCGGTGCACAGGCCGATGCTTTAATCACTGAGAGCAATACAGGCCAGGCCACCCCAGGGAATCTTTTAAAGAAAGAAATATTTCCATGACTATCAAAGCATTATTATTAATGTTCAACTACATTCATAAAATAAAACTACGATATTAGATTTGCAAAAATTACAAATGAACTCTCTCTGTTGGTGAAGGTGGGGGTAACATAGACATTCCTATTCAGTGCTGACAGAAATGTAAACTGCTACAATTTCTTTGAGGGTAATCTGGAAATAACTGAAAAATATCCTTTGGCCCAGCAAATCTTATAGGACTTTTTTATTGGCATGTTCTCACATGTGCAATAACAACAGACTGGACACAACTTAAGTGCTCTGCAAGTGGGAGCTGGGTACAGAAACTGACACAGCTGGACAGCTGGGTATCCATGCGCCAGCATGTGGAGCAGGAGAGGGTGATCTCTCATATGGGATTACGCCCACAAAGCACCCTGCACAGCATATACCATTGGGATCAAACAGGTGGGAGAGAGAAGGGGGAGGCCCAAACACACAGGCTTGTGTATTTGTAGACTATGGAAGAACAAAATATTTTAAAAAGAACAAATGTTTCTGTGTCTGGAGAGGGGATGTGAGAGATCAGGATTAAGTAAGGGAGGAAAAGAGACCTACTTTCTATTTTTGCAAAAAATACTACTACTAATATTACCAAATATGCATTATGAATAATATAAAGTATCTTTAGTTTCCTCAACATGATGAATAAATCAACACAATAAGCCAGAAGCTCTCTCAGCTCCATCTCTCAGGATCTGGTGAATGTTACCTTTCCACTCTTCTATTGTATGTTCCCGTTCATCTAACTGCTTGTCAGGTATCTTTGGTGGTGGCTGAAAAACAAAAGGCAGCAATAATTGAGTCAGTTTACTAGGAGTATGCAAATCCGTCCTAATTATTTGAAATGTTATCCAGACATCAAGGGCTTGTAAAAATACATTAGACCAGAGTGATGAGTCATCTTTGATGTAGAGACTAGTTTTGGAAGAATCCTTCCTGACAGGAAAAAGATGTCTAACTATCTTTTTCTTTTCTTCCAGCTTTTGAAATGGTCAGTTTATTTACATCATAGAACTGGGCTATGCTTTAGAAACAATAATTTGTATTATAACTGAGTCCTCCCAAAGCATTCAGTGTTCTAGCTCATCAGATCAGATATCAAGACAAGGCAGCAAGAAGCTGAGAGAGGGAACTTTATTTTGTGTAGGAAGTGCTTGGATAAGCTCATTAACTTAAGGTACTTTAAATGCAAAACAGAAAAACAGCATCATCATTTACCTATATTTTTATTTAAAACTAGAGGCCCAGGGCACGAATTTATGCATGGGTGGGGCCCGGCCTGCCCAGCCTGATGGTGGCAGATTGGGCCATGTAGGCAGGGGAGAAGGGATGCAGGAGGTTGGCCAGCCGGCCCCACCCCTTATTGGGGTTGGGGGGAGGGTGTCCAATTGGGGCCGGGCCAGCCGGGGGGAGGGTCTGAGGGCAGTTGGAGGGGGGCCGATTAGGGCCCCCCATCAGGCCAGTTGCCGCCACAGTGCGCATCATAGCCACCGGTCACTCTGCCATTCTGGTCGCTTGGCTTTTATATACAGAGATTAAAATGTCTCCTCCAAACCCAACTTTAATTCTAACTGTAAGGGATATGACTTCTTCAAACATGAAGAGAAGAACTTACAGCCTCCGCCTCGGAAGGGTCATACCAGACGTTGATATATGGGTGCTGGAGAGCTTCGTCCACAGAGATCCTTTTGGATGCGTCAATCACCAGCATTTTGGATAATAAATCCCTCGCCTGACTGGCTGCAAAAATAATGATGTGAATGTACACATACCTCATAAAGGTTTTTAAAATTAGCAATACATTTCAGAAACTTGAAATGCTCATTTTTTAAAAAGTATGTGTTTTATAAAAATATTTTACTATAAAATCAGGTCATACATATGATGAAAAATTATAGTTACAGAAAAAAATGACTAAAACCTTACTTTGTTCCACCACCCAGAAATAAACTTAGTGTATGCTCCATAATAATATGAAAACACACACACACACAAATAGGATTAAATAAATATATTTATAAAAGTACCTTTAAGTTTGTTGTGTTCTGAGTCAGCAGGGAAAAGCACATCGGGGAAGAGTTTCTCAAAGCTATATCCAGCATATTTAGGTCTGTTTTCAACGTAAGTCCTTACTGTTGGTTGTAGTTTCTTCATGAATTCAGGACATGGTGTTCCAAGCTGTTCAATAACTTTATTCCACTGATCAATATCTAATATCAAGTAGCTAAGAAAAATACTCCGTATCTAATGTTCAACACATATTCATAGCCATATTAAAATAACAAGAAAATAACAATTATAAAATTCTAAGAAAGAATGTGGCAGTTACAAATCTTTTATCTTATAGCCACCTTGCAAAAGGTGGACAGAAAGGGTCAATAAACAAGCACTGTTAATCTTATTGAGAGAGAGAGAGAGAGAGAGAGAGAGAGAGAGAGAGAGAGAGAGAGAGAGACTGACTGTGTGTATGTGTGTGTGTGTAATATTCATTTTATCATATAAATGAAAGCTTAGCCCAACTGGTGCGGCTCAGTGGTTGAGCGTCATCCCATGTACCAAGATGTCACCAGTTCTATTCCCAGTCAGGGCACATGCTCAGATTGTGGGCTTGATCCCTAGTAGGGAGTGTGCAGGAGGCAGCAGATCGATGTTTCTCTCTCATTAATGTTTCTATCTCTCCCTTCTCCCTTCTTCTCTTTCTAAAAAAATCAACAAAAACATATTTAAAAAAGTGAACGCTTAAACCAACAAATTCCAAATACAAATGACTCAAAGAATAATGATAATTACTACCCACAGGGACTCTAAATGTAAACTGTACAAACTGTACACAATTCTAGAATACAAAAATATTTTTTTCTGGCTCATCTGAAAATGTGAATGCATATCCTAGAGTAGTGATGGCGAACCTTTTGAGCTCGACGTGTCAGCATTTTGAAAAACCCTAACTTAACTCTGGTGCCCTGTCACATATAGAAATTTTTTGATATTTGCAACCATAGTAAAACAAAGACTTATATTTTTTATATTTATTTTATATATTTAAATGCCATTTAACAAAGAAAAATCAACCAAAAAAATGAGTTCGCGTGTCATAGGTTCGCCATCACTGTCCTACAGGCTAAGAAATATTGCTTATAATCTGTCCCTTTTTTTGAGAATTTTCTACACTAACAGAAAATAAAAATGATGGCTCTGGTAAAAGTGGTGTTTTCTTTTGCCATGCTTTGTTTAACTTAGGTAATAAACTCTGTTTGAAAGCTCTGAAACCTGTGAACATGAATCAGTGTTTGGTAAGTTGTGAGGTTAGAACTCCCTGTCTCCTTCCTCCTAAGTCTTCACACTGCCAGTCCTCCCTGGGACCAGAACCAAAGCTCTCTGATGATCTAGTGCATATGGCTTTCCCATGCCTTCTCCTCACGTCAGTCTCAGGGTGACTAGCTGATAAACACATCACACATCACTCGCTGGTAATGTAAATATTAAAATAGATGAACAAAAAGCATGACTCCAAATCTACTTACACCATAATAAAACTATTACTGCTGAAATTCTCAGATGAAAAGATCAGTATGTTATGTTAAGAAATCAGACAACCCAAAGACACGAAACACAAAGAACATTAACAAAAAGGAAGGTGGGGTGGGGGGAGGGGGTAAAACAAAAGGATGACCAGAAGCAACAGACAATTCCAAAATTCATATTCAAGTCCTAAGTACTTCTAGACTTAATCAAGTGCATACTTATTAAAATTTTTTAATGTCCGCCATGATTTTTGATTTACGTTAAGTAAATCAACTCAAAGCCAGCAAATAATTGTGGATAATTAACTTGAGCAGTTCTCAGAAATAACATGACACAACCAATACGTGGGGGAAGGGAAGTCTATGTCAACTAGCAGGTGGTATTTTGAAAGAGTAGAGTAATTTAACAATATTATTAGGGAGAGACAAAATACATTACACTTGACATAGCTGAAGTGCTGTCATACATTTTGACCTTTAGAAACTACATTTTAGGCCAAAGATAAGGATACGATCTGTACCTGGGAACAAAACACCACCTTTGATCATTTCTCCCATGATGCACCCAACTGACCAAATGTCAACTGAAAACAAAATGCAATGACATTAACATAAAGAATTTGGTTAAAATAAAAAATAAAAAAACATTAAAAAAAATCACGCACACCATGTATACTTTAAAATTATAGAAAGCAGTACAAAATAAAAATGAGTGACAGTGAATGTGCTCTAACTACCAGCAGAGACTGTATTTCCTGCTGCCGGACGCAGCCTACGAACATTTCAGCTTCTCATCTCAGCAGTTTTTGAACTGTAATAGCCACAAACTATCTGTTTAAAACCCCCTTGTAAGAATGAACCATCTTCATCCCCATTAGCGAACATAAGGAAGTCCATCACTAACTAATTTCACTGCTGCAGCAGCACAAGGATACAGTCCCTTCCTGGAAAGAGGATTTTGTGGCAAACCATTTCTCCCATAATGCACCCCACAGACCATAAATCCACTATATGTTTGCAGCACAAAAGAAGGAAAAGCAAAGCAAAAGGTCATTAAAATCAAAGAAGCATAATATGACTGCATTATATAAAAACTACAAAACATCACAAAAAGAAAAAAGTGATTTTAATTTTAGCTAATGGAATAATTTAAAACACAAAACATTTTTCAAAAGGCTTTGAATTACAAAAGCAAATGGTGAAGTGTGGCCTTTTAACTATATATCTAATTTTAAAGTGAGAGCCATGCACAGAAATAATGTAGTTAAAAATCCTATACATTTTGTCACTGAAAATTTGTTTATAAAATACAAAATAGCAGCAAACTTAAACTTTGTAAATAAGGTTGAAAAAGTACACGAGGTAGCAAAATTTAAAAAATGAAATCTTGACAATATTTTGAGTTTAACTGTGCATTATGCTCTCTCTTTAAGTCAACAAAAAAGCATGAGCAGAAATAATTTAGCATGTTAAATATTTAACAGAAAGCATGTATTTCTAGGAATAATTATAGTTAAGAATTAATCTGAAGCCCTTTAGAAATTTTCAAACTGGATTTCATAAATGTATTTGAGTAGCGCTATATCTATTTTGAATTGAAAATCATTTGTTCCCCAGCAATGCTGTGCTACATCTACCCTACTATCCCAACAGGAACAAGTGCATGGACGGTGGATAAATGATCAAGTCAGGAAACTCAGTAAAAAAGCATATATCATGTTTTCTACCTAAAGTCTTTAAACCCATAAAACTAAATTGCTTTGGTTGAAGACGTTTAGTTTTGGCTGAATAGAGTCTGAGAGTTCCCACTTCAACGAGACCTCTAATCAATTCTGAAGACATCTGCTAGACCAGTGGTTCTCAACCTTGGCTGCACATTAGAATCACCTGGGAATCTTTTTAAAATCCTGATTTCTGGGCCTCGTCCTCTGGAAATTCTGTTTCTTTGCTATGGGGTGGGGCCACAACATTAGTAACAAAGAAACAGAATTTCCGGAGAATGAGGCCCAGAAATCAGGATTTTAAAAAGATTCCCAGGTGATTCTAATGTGCAGCCAAGGTTGAGAACCACTGCCTTAGAAGCTTTCATTTTTGAAGCTTGAAGGTCTAAATTCTTTAAGGGCAAAAAAGGAAAAAGGTAGAAATTGATGTGAGAGAGAGACACCCTTTACCACCCTGGAGGACTTAGGAAATGTCAGTGTACTTTCTGGGACACACCCTTATAGGAGACTGCCAGTTCACCATAGGCTCATAGGAGCTAAACTAGAAAGAAATTTTGGAAAACCTTTGGAATTAAAGTTTCTCTAAAATTTAATATTAAAATAAAGGCAAATATTTTTTATATGTATGGTAGGATTCAACTTTGAAAGACAAGAATTTAGATAAAAGTTAATATTCATAAATCTGAAGGAAAAAAATTCCAGGGTTTTCATTTTTGGTAAAAATCTATTACAATAAAATTTCCCTATAGATTATAGAGAATGGCAAACTTTACTTAAATATCCAGGACACAGTTATGTAGAAAACTTTAATAAATCACATAAACCCATTTTTAAACAGACTATGAAAGTCGCAAGCATGTGAGCAGTTCTTGTCTGGGTCAGTGGCTCATGCATAAAACTTCTTTTAATGGGTCTATAGCTAATTAGGCAGCTTATATATATATTCCATTATATTATACTTTCTACAAAGCTTTGAGGTAGCTTGCAATAAGAGGCAACATTAAAGACAAAGTTGTTAAAACAGGTGAGGGTGGGTGGAGGAAGTTCTTATGTTTGCCCTTGATGGCTAATGCAGTTATTGTTATTAAGCATTACATTTGACTCTGTTTCCTGAGACCAAAAAAAAGAAAGAAAAGGTGATAAAGTCATCTGCATAACTCTTAATCTATGAGGAAAGCAAGTCAATTCTTAATATGGTTTTTTTTTTAGTGCTAATTTCTGGCAGGGAGCTATCTCCCCAAATCACATTTATAGGCCACAGAGTGACACATTACACCGTAGCTGGGACAGTAAATGGTTTTATAGCAAATGCAAAAGCAATCTTCATGTTGGTCACTTGTATCAATTCTAAAAAAAACCCCTAAAAAACAACAACAACAAAATCTCAATGAGTCTAATACTAAATCGAACTCACTAGATCTACAGGGTATAAGAAAATTTCAGATAGTAAGAAAACAAAACATCCTGTTTATTTAAGAACAAAAGAATAATAGTAAATGTTTAAAGTATTTGTTTTTAATTAGCTCAGAAAATAAAAGGAAGTTAAAATCCTCAGTTCAATATTATCTTTTCTAAAAATGATTCAAGAAGACTGACTTAATACAATTTCTTAGTTCAAAGCAAACTGCTAGGAAAAAGTCCAGGCCCTATTCCAGGCAGTACTTTGGATAAAGTTACCACAAGTCAATCAAGGCCTGTGCACTTTCACCCCCGTCTGAAAGTCTACAACATTTTTCTCAAATATATGTGTATGTTTAATTTTTTAATAATTCATGAACTACATGCCTGACAATTTTCTTCAACCTTGATTCTAATGCTGATATATGTAACTGAATATACCCACACATAATATGCCATCTCTTTAAGGCTGGACACAGGGCGTTGATGATACAACAGTTTCCTACAAAAGGTCACCTTTATTATCCATCAGCTTTGCAGATGGCTTTATCCTGGCTCTTCAAGCTTACTAAGTGCTATTGCTGGTAACTCTAGTCTCAGGGGGCTGGAAATAGGTGCAAATGTCACTAACAGCAAACTAGGATTCATACAAAAGATAAACGGTCAGTCCACTATACATACTCCTTGAGCCCATGTTAGAAATATTCACTGTAAAGTTACAGGAAAGTAAATTTCAAGGGCCATGGCAACAAAGTCCTTATCCAAAGGTAGTGTTGATGGTTAGGTATTTGTAATTAAATAAACAGGTACCCTAAGTTTTCCCAAACATTTATGACAAAATTTAGAGTTACTTTAAAACTCTTGACACAACGTTTCAGTGACATATATTTAACTATGCACTTCCGCTTAACTATTTACATAAGAAATCTCATAAAACAGAACAGTATTTCAAGTAAATGTGTTTTCTGACCGTTTTCTTTGTAGCCCATCCCTAGGATGACTTCAGGTGCTCTGTAGTAGCGCGTCACTACGTAGGGTGTCATCATGAAACTAGTTCCTGCAGTCCTGGCCAGTCCAAAGTCAAGAATCTTCAAAGTGCAGTCTGATTTTACTACTATATTACTGGGCTTTAAGTCCTTTAAGAAATAAAAAAATAAAAGAATGCTATGACATATACAAATATTTTGCAGTTCACAAGTTATCAGATCACTGATAAAACAATTCATGCAAACTGTTTATTTTTCTCACCATAATCGATATCACGGCATAAATTCATTATATTGGGCACATTTGAGGAATTCACTTGATGGTATTTTAATTTATGAATACATACAGTTATTAGAGAATTTAGTAATATTTTATTTGCTAGAAATTATGATTAGCTAGTAATTTTTGATCAAGTGGAGTAAAGCGATTTGGAACTACAACTAAAAGCTCACATAAGCCCTAGCTGGTTTGGCTCAGTGGATAGAGCGTAGGCCTGGAGCCTGAAGGATCCCGGGTTCAATTCCAGTCAAGGGTTGCGGGCTCAATCCCCAGTGTGGGGCATGCAAGAGGCAGCCTATCAATGATTCTCTCTCATCATTGATGTTTCTATCTCTCTCTCCCTTTCCCTTCCTCTCTGAAATCAATAAAAAAAATCTATAATAATAAAAGCATAATATGCTAATTAGACCGGACATCCTTCCAGATGAAGCTGGGGCTGCAAGGGAAGCCAGTGCCAGCAGCTGGGGGAAGGAAGGCCTACTCTTGCATAAATTTTGTGCATCAGGCCTCTAGTATTAAAAATAAAAAAGCTCATATAAAACGAATATGGTAAAAGAGAGAATCGTTAAGTTAGCATTTATATTCACTTGTATACTAAATTACCAGCATAAGAAAACCTGATTTTAAAGACACAATGGAGTTTGTGTAGATAATACAAATCAATAATTGGCCATTCTATGTCAATCCAAGCAGGTGTCATTTGACCTCTCTCATTGGCAGATGGCCAAGTATAACGACGGAAACAGTCCTCAGTGGTCTTTCCATCACTGACTGCTGTCCCAAATCACACAAATTTGTCCGTAAAATCTCTGTCTGCTCACAGAGGTAGGACAGAATTGTCTTGGTGCCACTAATCTATATAATTACTTGCTGTTAATGCTACTAAATAATGTCTTCGTGAAGAATTTTCCACCTGACCCCAACTTTAAGCAATTCCATGCTGTGGTCATTAAAAGGAAGGCAGCAGCGTAAACACTCATGGCTTCAAGTTCAACACATTTTGCCTGTTAGCTCCCATGAAACCTATTGTGAACCAAGAGACCATAGAAAGCAAACATACATTCATGACACAAACACACTCCATTATGGGTACTGATGGCCTGAAAAGCATGACTGCTTTTTCAATGTCTCTATCCAGGAAAAATTGTATGTTGTCTTTAACATCTTTTCATAGGCAATCATGGATGGTTTTAGAAGATAAGTAACCCAAGGGCTTTATCAAATTAAAAATAGAGATCAATAGATGTAGCGAAACAGAAGATGAAAATTTTCATTATTGCTGTTCCATAAATATGATATTGGCACTATTTCCAAAACACAATACTCAGCCAAGTAACTTTGCATGTTCAAAAATATAGCTTACAAGCTTTGATACCATTTCAATGTCTACTCGGATGGGTAAAGATCAATGGCTCTTTACACTACTGCATTCTCATCTAGAAATACAATTCTAATTTTAAACATTTTATTTTGGAAAATTAAGAGTAAAATACACTTAAAAGTAGATTTTTTTAAAGAAAAAACTGTCCAAAAATGCCTCAAATAATATTACCTGAAATCTATCCTTCTATTTATCAATATGTACCTTTCTACCGATGCTAGAACCATATGAGAAGAACAACTGAATTTGCATGAATTTGTACCAGAGTGGAACTAAGCTAACATTATTCCATCTTCTCTCAGAGTTTCTAGCCTCCTTACAATTAGGTAGGTAGTCAGGCAAGCCTAACTGTGACTAGTTCTGTGAAGTGGGATGTGAGTGAGAACATACAGAAGGGCATCCTGTTGTCCCTTCCCTGCTTTGGTGACTGTAACATTCCAGATGATGGACCCTCTGTCAGTCTGGGTTGCTGAGCATTGAGGTAAAGCAGAGCCCTCACCCATCATGACCTGCACTGGCCATGCGATGCGGGAAATAAACCGTAGTTGGTGAGCCATGGAGAATTCAGGGTTTGGTACCCAGCATAGTCCAGCTGTGACATTGTGATTTATAATTACTATATATTTGGTCTTTGTCTCAATTACTGAGACAGAGCTCTAAAAACCTTAGAATTTCTTTCTTTTTTTTAAAAAAAAATATTTTTTATTCATTTTTTTTTTTTTTGAGAGAGAGAGAGGAAGAGGAAGGGAGTGGGAGAGAGAAACATTGATCAGCTCTCTCTTGCACATACTCTGACCCGGGATCAGACCTACAACCTGGGTATGTGCTTAACCTAGAATCAAACTTAATCCTTCGGTGCACAGAACAACACTCAACCAACTAGCCACACCAACCAGGGCAAGAATTCCTTAATTGATAAGAGCAATAAAGGTGACTGTTATTTTTAAAGCCCTTTTCACTGACCCTGAGTTTATGTTAATGAGCTGACTTGCAAAGCCCAAAAGGATGGGGGCTGGTTGCCAAGGGAACCAACATTGTGATTTGAGCTTCAACTTTCAGCTCCACCCCCAGACCTCAGCTAGCTTTCAATGACCAATGGTCAATGATTCAATCAACATGCCTAGGAAGGAAATGAAGACTCCATAAAAACCACAAAAGACAAGACTTGGTGCTGAGCATGTGAAGATCTGAGGAGTGGCACACCCAGAAAGGGCATGGAGCTCCACACCCCTTTCCACATACCTTGCCCTATGCACCTCTCCATTTGGCTCTCCCTGAGTTAATGTCCTTTGTAATAAACTGGTAGTCTACTAAGTAAAATGTTTTCCTGAGTCTGTGAGAAGCTCTGGCAAATACATTGATCCTGAGTAGAAAGATGTGGGAACCTCTGAATTATAGCCAGGAGGTCAGAATCACAGTAATAACCAGGGCTTGTGATCGGCATCTGCAGTGGGGGCAATCTTGTGGGGCTGAGCTTTTAACCTGTGGGATCTGAATCTGTCTCCAGGTAGAAAGTGTCAGAACTGAATTAAATTGTAGGACACCAGCTGAAGTACAGAAAACCTGAAAATTGTTTGGTGAGAAAAACTGATACACGTGGTGTCACAAGTGGTACTGTACTGCAGTGAACGCCGAGCACTGCTCTTCCTGTCACGGGTCTATTCTGATAACCAGACACGCGGTGTCACAAGTGGTACTGTAGTGCAGTAAACACAGCCTGCTCTTCCTTCTTACCGGTCTATGGTCTATTCTGATATCACTGAAACTGGCGCCAGGTAGGGTGCCACTCTTCCATACACACATGATCATAGCTTAGCAGTCGAGTAGCAGGCAGCAGGGAAACTAATACCACAGTTGGAAAAGCGATCCAGGTTATATAATAGCAACACCTTCGAAGACACTGTCATTTGCAAGAACTCGGCAGGCACAGCCCTGCATAATGAAGTTGAGGCTCTAGAATAGGGTTGACAAAGGAAGGCCTACCTATGAAGAAACAGCCACACTCATTCAGTTGCTTATTGTCTATGGCTATTTTTGTGTTACACTAGCAAAGCTATAACAGAGCTTGTATCATCTGTAAAGCCTAAAATACAGAGTACGTTTGGGAAGAAGTGATTAGAAAGTAAAATTTTAGTAGTGTGTGCTGGTGGCTCCTGGATAGATGTGAAAGAATGTAGTACAGTAAATGTAACACAGAGCACTGTAATACAGGACACACAATTTACTGCCACTTTACAAGTAGAAATGAAAGGGAACAGAGTTTAGAATATTTCAGGCCTTGCCATTCTGGAAAAACTAAAAGTTACTAGACACTTACAAAAAAAGGCAGTGTATATAGCAGATATCTCCTCCTCCCAACCCTGTATACCTCTATACCTTTTCACCTTCAGATGACTTGTCTCAATCAACAGAATGTGAGAGAATGTGATGTCCACCAAACCTGAAGACGGTTGTAAATGAGCTTGCTTGATTTAGCTTGGTTCTCCTGTCTTTCACCATGAGAAAAGGAAGAGCCCAATGAAGACCAGCAATTTCCAAACTTTTTAATCTCATGACACACATAAAGTAGTTCTAAAATTCTGCAGCACACCAAAAAAAGTATTTTTTGCTGATATGACAAAAAAAACAACAACACCTAGGTATAATTTTATACACAGCATGGACTTCCTCTTCTCATACATGGTGAGACCGACTACCCCGACAGTGGAGCCTCACTCAGCCTGGGTCTCTGAGCGACTCTAGGGAAGCCCACCCCCCACCCTGACTTTCACTGAACCCCTACAGGACAAAAGTTCAGGTTATTTTAGCAAGTAAGCAATCTCAGCCCAGCAGAAGCATTAGCTTAGGCTGCGGGGACTTTGAATGAGTACTAGAGCAGAGAGAGGAGTAAATTGTGGCCTCAAGACCAGCTACAGAAGTGAGTGCAGTAGTTTATCCCATTAAACTTCTAGTAAGATACTCAAGAAAAGGAACAGACATCAAATAAAACCATGGAAGAACAGTTTCCAGAACTTACTGCATGAAGAAAGTGGGAACAAGGAGCACCAGGGGTGGCCTACAGTGGGTGCTGTGCTGCGAGCTCTGACTCCTGGGCAGCACGGAGCACTCATTCTTCCAGCTGCTGGCCCTGTAGGCTGCCGACAGCTTTAGCAAGTCTCTCCCCAGGAACTGCCTTCAGGGAGGTGCCTCGTTTTCCAAGGTCCTGCTACCCCCAGGACAAAGGCCCAGTTGAGTTACCAGCTGAGGCCTCTGGAGTGATTGCATCCAATTCACTTTCTCCCTCTGTGCACTTTTACTTCCTTAACTCTACTCAGAGACCCCCATATAAATCTTATTAGTTCAAACTTATTATGTAAATTTTCTATTGTACTGTATTTTTAATACTTTATTGCCTATATACTAAAGGAGTACGTATAGTATCCCAGTACATACTATTGTATTTGTGCAGTTATCCTATTTTTTACAATTTAAGATTTGTACATAGCAACT